TTTTTTTTTTTTTTTTTTTTTCCCCCACCCCCCCGCCCCCCTTTTACTTGCCTTTCCGGCCCGCTTTTTCCCTAAAGGTTCCCACCCCAGCGAACATAGGACGGAGCTAAAAGTAGGAAGCTTGAAGAAAAAAAAAACAAGTAAACCCAGTTGCAAAGCTGGAGGCGCGGATTTCCTTATTAAGGATTTGGTTAATTGAGTTGATACCCACACATCCTGCTCAGTATCCTTGGGAGCTTTCAGCTGGGTCAACACCATCTCCAAAGAGATTTATTTTAAAAAAAATCTTGCTAATTACATGGACAACTGGGTCAACAGCATCTGCAAAGTTTTTTTTTTTTTTAAATCTTGCTAATTACATGGACCTTTCCCAACCCTACTGGGAACCTCCAGTACCCAAGTCTTTTCCCAGCATCTTCTAGTTTTCCACTGTCAGGCCTAGTTTGGCTGACCCCAGGGGATGCCTGCTCATCCAGCTCCTGCTGCTGAAATGGGACAGGTTTGACTGATCTGGGGAAGGTCCTGGGGAGCTAAAAGTCATACTTGAGTGCCCAGGATGTCCACTGAGAGAGCTGCAGTTAGCTGAGTGATAACTAGATAGATCTGGTGACCCTGAAATTCCACATAACTCAAGCCAGGTAGGTACAAATAGAAGCATGTGTTTACAATATTCAAAATAGATACACTGACAAGAGTATCTAAGTTAAGAAATAGTAAAGTTTCAGGTATAACAAAATCAGGAAAGACGCTCTCTCATTTCGAATGGTTTCCCACCTATGTGATCAGCAGAACTTCTTGCCCTTGCACATGACACGTTTCTCAGACTGCATCCATCAGTCAGCACCTTGTCATGTGGGAACATTTTCACCATCTCTCCTTTGAAATCCTCCAAGTAGTCTGAAATTTTTTATTCTCATACTCCTGACTCCCCTGAGATGTATTTTATTTCCCCTTTCTCCAGGACAAGAGACAGCTTTTGCTTGAAATGCAAATAAACCTTTTCTTACAATGCAAGAGCTGTAAATTTCTTTTTGTTGGAGCAGGTGTGCCCCTTCCATACCTGTGAGGCCATTTAACAGACCCTGATCCATTTGTTTGCCTGTCCACCTCACTCCGGTGACCCAGTGTATCAGAGTGAAAAGTTTTATGAATAGAGTTTTTATAATCTCTGTCATCTTTCTTTATTAAGTGAGACAAATGATTGAATAGGATACATGTACACGGTTGGCCCTTGCTGGAGACTAGATACAGAAACAATTAAGCATTTGTAGGTGAGCAGTCACTTGTAATTTGCTCTTAAATGAAGTATTTATCAAGCTACATTATCATCCAAGCACTGAATAGTTACTGTAGTAAAAAGCATTTAGTACCATTAGATACATGAGCATGTGTTTGAGGGTTGGGAAGCTGAGCCAAGCAGTTACATTAATGTAACAGGGCCAAGAGGCAGAATAGTTGCTTAGAATATAGTAAGTCCTGAGACATTTTCTGCTGACATTTTCCGAGTTGTTTGGGTTTTTTTTCTTCCTCCATTCCTGGCTTTCTTTCTTTACTTTCTTTCTTTCTGGCTTTTCTTTTACTCTGGGGAGTGGTACAGGCGTGGGCTATTGGACTGTGGATTCAGATTTGACTACCAGTGAATGCAAACATGTACAGATAACGGATGCCTAAGGAAATGGATGCTTTCCCTCAATTTCTGTTTAGCAGGGTGCCTCCATTCCCTGCTGGGCAGGCTTTTCCTGCCTGGATTTCTCCTGAGACAGCTCCCAAGAGGGGTGCACTGTGCCATGCTGGAAGAGAAAGGAGAAAAGGTTGTTGGGATGTGTGTCTCTGTGCGACACACAGAAATGTACTAACTAACAGAGAGATAGCTGGAGCCAGGGGCGTAAAGCACAAAGCATGTAACTACAGAGCAGAAGCGTGCAGGTCTGACTCCTGCTGAGCTTCACAGATCTGTTTACCTGCTGATAATCTTGCTTGTACTTTATTCCCACAGATAGTGGGTCTTCCTTGCTCTCATATCTGAAATCTACCCCAGAGAAACACTCTCACACAGAGAAGACTCATTCCAGCTACTTTTGAAGGAGAAAATTTCCATTCTTCCCCTGCTATGCAGTCAGACTTGGCCGCCCTCAGACACGTTTAGTCTCTCCAAGCCAGGCGTCATTGCCAAGTGTGTTTTCCTTGCACACCACGTAGCACCTGTAATGGAAAAGAAGACATGAAGGAAAACGGAGAGGGGATGGCAGTATGACAGAGAACAGAAGAAAAAGCAAAGTATGAGTGCTGGCCCTGTTATTTACAACATCCTAAGCAAGCCCATGTCTCTCTGCATTAAATCCCTTCTGTATGAAGGACCTGTATGCCCTCTTCCACTGCTCTGCCTTCTCCTAGATCATCCCATGTACGCCTTTATGGTACAACCAAAGATCAGGACCAAACATCATGTCTGTCACCTCAAGTCAAGGGACTGTGGAGCACTTTTATCCACTCCCAGGATGCTCAGAGCTCTCATTCATAAGGATTATCCGGCATCATATAAAGAAAAATCAGTAAGGATTATTTGGCACCATGTAAAGCAACATGCAAAATGAGAAGAGCCTGTCCAGAGCTGAACTAGCACCCTAAGGATCACCATGGAAAAGAAGAGTTAATAAAACTAGGCAAGACTGAGCTAAAAATTTTTTTTGCTTCACATAGGATAATGCCAAATATATAGTAGTATGATATTATATTACTATTATTAATTAATATGCTATTAATGTATTTATTAACGATGTTTATGATGCTGATGATATTACGTAAAACAACAAGGCACCTCCACCAGCGTTGGTGCAACACGGATTTCAATGTTTATTGCAGGGCTATCACCTTTTCGTAGCATTTTCCTTTTTTGGACCGGTCGCCGCTCCCGCCTTCGGGCAGGACGGGAGGG